ATGTAACAGATTCATTTCTAAATCTCTCAAGTTTGTTAAACAAAAAAGGTTTGCGGGTGCACCATGTGGGAAATATCTCTTTTGTGAAGAGGTGTGGTTCTAAAAAGAACTGTTGAGTTTTGTGGGACACGACAAGTATGTACTGAAATGACAATACATAAGACCAGCGTATCCATGTTGTGTCCATACTCCACAACACCACACTGCTACAAGTATAACAGTTTTGTGATTGACAAAGCAAATAATCATTTTAGTTGGACTGAGTACAGTGTGAATAATTGTTTAAAATTTTACGACGTGATCATAAGAGCATATGGAGAATCTTGTTCTGCATTGACCTTGCATTTACACCTTTATGTCCAAGGGATTTCAAGAATTGAAAGTTCGCTTTTACGCATCTTTTGAAATGCATACTGCAGCAGTACACTACCTGCTGAGTTGTGTGTTTGTTGAACAGAGAGAACATGGCAAACTTTACCTGATATCATGTTTCTTCAACTGTGATCATTGGGTTACTAACTTCAAATATTGTTCTTGTGATGAAATATTATTGTCTTGTTTCTTTACAGACATTGTGGTAGAGTTATTTGAGAATGTTGACCAGGGTCATCTTGGCCAATTGAGTAAGAGACATGTGGCAAACTTCACCAGGTAAATTATCATCCATGCTGTCTCTTTGATTTCAACCTTATTCATGAGACGGTCATATTGAAATTGAAAGTGAGGTGAACTCTTTATTTTGGAACTCAATCAATGAAATAGATAAAATGAAATTTAATGACAAATTAGCACTTTTCTACTTTGATGAACAGTTTTCATAATTATGAAAAAAATACCTTAGTATATGTAAACCAGTTTTCGAAAAGAAAATTGAAAGGGAGACTCATGCTAGTGCTAAAACAGTTTGATACCATCCCATTCAACTGTGAACTATTTGTAAAACAGATTTGAAAAATGAAATAAGAAATGGTTTCCTCATGAATAAGGTCTATTCTGTGCCTCTCTGCTTACTTTGTCATCAGGTCATGTACATTTACTTGCTGTTTTTTGTACAGTTTGAAAGATGTATAAAGGAGTTAATATTTAACCGTAACTCCCAAGTTTCTTTTACCGGCACTGGACCATATCCATTAAAATCCAACATTACCTATGCATCCAAAATGCATGCTGGAAGTCTAACACTGACGTGATGACCTCAGTTAAGTGATGTATGATACACGGCTCACATGATGTCATCGGTGCTGTTGTTATGACGAAATGCACTGAATGCCCCCAACAGTGCTTCAGGCCCTCTTGACAAAGTCCATCAACATCTCCCACAAAGGAGGAATGGATTTTGATGGATTTGGTACTGTTAAGGAATAGATTTTGATGGATTTGGTACAGTTGGTGGTAATACATGCAATCTGTTTCCATTTTGACCAACATTCAGGAGATCCAATGCCAGCCAATGTAGTCTCCTTCTTAGCATGATGTATGCTCAGCGACTGAGAGAAAGTAACCCTGAATATGTGACGAGAATCAAACCTGCTGAACTGTTTCTAGTGTCAATGGTAAGCCATTCTATACTTTACAATTCAGTTGTTTGTCACTGGATAAGCTAGCTGTATAGTTGTGAGTGGGAATGCAACTTGATGTAATCAACCATTGGGGTCTAGATTTGATCGGTCATTGCACCCTGATAACTAGAGTGGTGTTGTACATGTACACATAGAAAAATAAGGAAACCTTGGAGTGCTTGCTTCCAAATATGGCCCAGTAAGCAAAGTTTGTATTGATCTGTCACAGATGATTGCTACCAAGTTTCTGTATGATGAAGGGGAAGAAGAGGAATTATACAATGACCAATGGGCTGAAGCAGGTAAGAATGCTGCACACCTTTCCTGTTTTATTCTGTTGGGTTTGTATTCGGACAGTCAAAGATACTTTGAAGGTACAGTCCGTCCTTTGCTATTTGTCCATTATGCTCGTTTGAGGTAATGAATGCCTCATAATCTAAAGGAGGGTGTTTATCAACTAACCTCATAAAGTTTCAGCTCAGCGAATGTTATATATTTGAAGAGAGATAATATTCTGGGATCTTGATTTCAAATGAAAAGTTAAAGAGTCATGCTTTGAATTGTGCCCAATTTAGTATCCAGTGTATGTCTGGTTCAGGCAACTGCAACTATATGATGTTGCTTGCTGAGCCAATGAATTACAGCAACTATTTTGTCAACACTTGCGTACACTTTGCAGGATCAAATAATAAAACACTTTCCAGTAATGCATCTTTAAGCACACTGTTTGAAATGGCCTCCTTTCATTGCTTTTTTCAAAATGACAGCTTATTTGAAAGAATTATTCCACAGGGAGTTCAGTCCCATAACTATCTTTAAACCAACAATGCTTATTAACATTCATTTCATCAGTTTATGGACCGCTGTAAATGTTGGACTCTACCTTTTACAGCCAATACTGAACTTCAAGATTTTCAAAATCTCTGTCTTGCTTGATTTGATTCTACCACCCTTGCCATGACACAGTTTTTGATTCAGTAAAGAATCATGCATTATGCTATCAACTAAAAAGTGGACATACCTTTATTTACTTTGAACATGAAAGAAATTTGAGCAGCTGGGATTACAGAGACAAAATTAAGGATGAAAATGAAACAAGTTATGAAAACCCCTTTAATTTGTTACAAATTTTAGCGTTCTAGTTCTCATCAATCCTTTCAGGCATATTTTTCAGAGGTGTTCAAAAACCCTAAAGTTTTTACTTACTTCTCACTGCAACTAATACAAGTGAAAGCGTTCTTTTTCAGGAAGTTGTGAATGTCAGAGTAATGACTATTTCTGTGGCATTTTCATTTAAGTTGCTCTCTTTTTTCCCATTTTCAGCAAAAATTGATGTGAACCGAGTGCATGATCTGGAGAGGGACTTCTTGGCTGCTATTGTAAGTTTTGTCTTATAAGGATTGTGAGATTGAAAACAGGTTATTCTGTGTCAGATCTGAAAGGCCAAACTGCATTAAACTGGGCAAAACACCTGGGCTGGTCAAGCATAAAAAGACATATATACATATGTGGCTGGTACACATGCACACATGGACAGGTTCTTGTACAACAGATGAACAGATCATCTCTATTTGACTTCCCTATCTTTAGACAGACATTCAGAGTTGAGGTCTCTTTCAATTAAGGACCAGTAGTTAACTTGTGGTTGGATTGTGTTACTTCTAGCACATAATGCAGTGAAGTTGAAGTGCAAAGGACTCTAGTCCACCGTTGTTAGGTGATAGGTCCACAGATATGAGAAAAGTTGAAAAAGTTGTTTACTAGTGACATACTAGTAATATAAGGGGTCCACTCTGCACTGTGTTATTAAAACCAGCAATGGCAACTAATGATGTGCTGGTCACAAATAGTCGCCTAGACTACTTCAGCGGTTGTTTACTAGCATGTATTTGTTCAGAGTTAATCAGACTGTTTTACTATGGTCCTTGATCGAGCTCCACCAAAGTGAGAATTTGATCAGAAGTTCAGTCACCTGTAACTCACAAATCACATGACCAAAAATCAGATTTTTTAGTTTCTCATAAGATCAACAGCAAATCTGAGATTTGCCCCCAAAATTGCAAGTGTTTGACTTGATGTGGAAGGACCCAAACAGAATGCTGAAGTATCAAATATTATTTCAGGTACCAAATTGTGTGCATTTGACTGGCAGTGTGCTTTTGACGTAAAATGTTGTTATTAAAGCAAATTCTGAATTCTTAAGTCTCTTCTTCCCTTGTTTTTCTTTATTTTTCCAGGCTTTCTATAACAAGGTTCTTGTTACAGGGTAAATTGGCTAAGCCCAAGAACCTTGTTGTAATAAGAGAGATTTTATTTGCTTTAATTTATTTTACCTAGGACTGGAAGCTTCTGGTTGACCCACTGGAATTCTATGAGTTTCTGCTTGGAATAGAGATGAGGTTGGTTTGTTTTGTTTCTAGTGTTATTTAACAGTCATATTTTTAATAACTCAGTAGATTTTTGTTTGTTCATTTGTTTGTTTTTGTATTTTGTCATCATGCATTATATAATTTGGAATTGGAAATTGTTTCATGTTTTTTTGTGTGGGCTTTGCACATCTGTCTCAGGATTGCACTGAGTGAAGGCAGAAAGAGAGGCTGGTATACGTACACAGACCTGAGTATCGTGATGCAGCACCCAGCCTGGTATAAAGTTTGCTGCTGTGTGCTGGAACACTTGGTCAAGGTAAGGTTTGCTGATTTGTCAAAAGCATCGTAAATATCAAACTTCCCAAATAGTGAAATATTTTCATATCCCTTTTAACTCTGGCTTGTTTCGTGGTTTTTGCTTTGCCTTTTTTAAACATTAAAACAGACACTGTCAGTCTTATCTGCTTGTTACAAAAGCAAAAAAAAACACTTACTGTGGAACGCTGCTATAATGAACACGATGGGGTCCACGCTAAATGTCCGGTACAGTGGTCATTCGGTGTAGCAAAATTAACTGCTGAACATTTTGTTGCCATGTTGAATAGCGCCCTCTCTTGTCTAACTGAAGTGCACCGTCTTGTGATACTGTGAATAGTTGTTTTCGTGCTGTTGCATTCATGGTTGAGGTTTCTAGAAATGTATCTGTTAATTATTTTAAATCTTGAGCTACAAAATTAATATTTACATTGCCCTAAAAGTCGTGAAGCTACCACTCAGGATCGATCTCTGACACATGCTGTGGTGAATCTCGGTTGATTTGCAACTGCGTAATGTTCGGTAGGTTTTGTGCACAAAATACTGGGGGCCAAGGACGATGTTCGGTACAGCCGAATTTTCGGTACAGTGGTGTTCGGTATAGCGACGTTCCACTGTACTTTAACTGAATTTTGACATTCATTGGTAATTTATCTGTTTTCTTTGAAGAGGTCAATATGGCCAACCCATATATGGCCAACTCATACATGGTGTTGTATGTATGCTGGCATGGGCCACATACACAATTTTTCACTACTAAATGCACAGGATGTGCGCAGTGTGGATGGCATGAGATAAACACCAATGTGGATGATGGCGGATTATTAAATGAGTGCTATTTTCTCTCCATTTCTAGCAGGTTTCCTTAGTTCTGTCTCTTTAGAGATTTGTAATGGTGTTGGTCAGCAGTCAGTGCGCTACCTACAATAATGACACTGCCTTTGTTGCATGCATACTGCACTTTTTAACACGCCCAGAGATTGTTGAGACCTTCTTTGATTGATAGTCTTGATGCTGAAATTCTGTTGTTAACTACAGGTGATCAGTCTGTGTACGCTCATCTATAGCCTGTGCGCCGCTACTACCTTGTGGTCTGCATTACTTCTCCACCAGACTAGCATTCCTTCTCATCCAATCAACGGATGCCTACCCTTACCACTTGGGCCCCACTTAGCTAAGTCTACTGAGCCCAACCTTGTCCCCAACCATCTTCTCTTTGATTTGTTACACTTGTACCTACACCAAAACCCCAGAATGACCCAAGTCTTGTCTCCTGACTCCCCTGCCTCACACTGTCATGTGCCTTGGTATGAACAAGAACATCAAGCCTTGTCAAGAAATGGTCAGCTGGTTTGGTCATCTGAAGAGGTTGCCCAGGACACTGTTGCTGAGGAGCCGATGGACATGTGTCGTCATTGCTTGGAGCAACAGGGGTGTGAAGACAGTAAGCTACAGCCATATTGCAGAAAGTTTCCCTCTCTCAGTTCCTGGTCCCAGGGTTACCATAGCCTGTCAACCAAGATAACCAGGTTAAGAGAAGTTCTAGTCCTGTTCTACAGTGCCTTACTAACTGCTTGGTCAGACATTCCACCTGCTACAGCCTTCTGGTCTGACCGTGACATACTCAATCAAAGACTGTCTTCCAGACTCCTTGACCCTCTTGAGATGTGCATACATTGTCGACAGGAACCAACAACCAATCAGAGCTCTTCCCACAGTGCCTTGGGGCAAGGCCATGTAGCCTGTTGCCAGATGGTGGGGAATATCAAGCAAGAGGTACCGCATCAAGTGCGTAAATGCTCCAAAACAACCTGCAGGGGTAGAGAAAGACTTCTGCCTCCCATTCCGTCAGATCAGAAGATTGGTTTTAGGACCAGCTCTGAAATTTCAGTCACAATGTGAGGATGAACTGTGAGGTATCTCAAGCCCTGAAAGAAACAAAATGGAGACGTCTTCCTGTACGATACTTAATCAAGTAGTCAGCTTGCTCGTTATGTGGGAGTAACCACTCATTGTATTAACAGTGCATGCATATTTCAATCGGAGGATGGTGTGATTTTTTTCCCAGTAAATGTGACCTACTATTCCAACATCAGGCTGATGTAGGTAACTTCATATCTCTGAAGTAGTGGAAATTCCTCTGCTCATGTTCATGGGAGTTCCATCATTGCCTGTGATTACCCAACCTTTCTGTAGACAGAATTTAGTCCTTTTATCACTCTGAAGTGTGTAGAATGTGGAAGAGAGAAATTGTCAAACGTTACAATTTCATGCTTCAGCTTGGTTTTGGAAAGGTTGGTCAGAAACAAGATTCTGGGTTGTTTCACTGCATTCCATTTTTATTGGAAACATTTTGGAAAAAATGAAGACTTGACAGTTCTAAATGCTTAGGCCATCTCCTTTTCACTGGCAGTGTTTTCCTCCACCTGGTGCAGAAAAACAAAACAGTACTTCCTAGCAGTTGCATATTGCATTGAGGATTTAGATGATGTCATGTGTGGCCTGTCGTGACAAAATGAGTGTAAAGTAGCACTCCACTTTTTTCCTATTATGTCAGTTTAAAGTAAAAAATTGAAGGGAAGGTAAGTAGATGGGTTTTGTAAACTTTAGATAGACTAAACCATCTAGACTAACTCCAAATTTCTGGCAAAATGATATATTTAAAAATGTCATTTTTTTCCAATTTTGACAATAGCATATTTCATGGCATAGCATTTTTTCATTTTTTGCCTGGTCAAAAATGTTGGAACAATGTCAGAAATGAAGACACAAAGACGCCAGAATAATGTCACATTGTCACCCGTTTACCTTAAGTGTAATATGCCATTGGAAAAGCTCTCTTTCTGTTGAATTAAAAGACCAATATCTTAATTTTCAAAAATTCTGACGTCATGTTGATAGGTCACATATTACAAGAGTAAGAGTATATTTCCCTTTAACGTCCATACATTTTCTTTTCCATTGATGAATTTAGAGTGTATACATTTACTGGTGTCATATAAGATTCACTCGTACAATGGAATTTTGGAACATTCTAAAATATTTGTTTACCCTTGTTTCACATGAGTAACTAATTTCTGTGGAAATACAAGTCTTCCATAAATGTTGTTGAAGGCATCATTGTTCTCAAAATAGGTTAATTTTATGCAAAATGAGCTATTGTAAATCAGTTTTCAATAAGAATCATGACACATAGGTGTATTTATTCACATTTACTGTTGGAGTTTCTTTATCTGTTAATTGCTATAACACACCAATATATCCCAGTATATCTCATTTCAATGTATTTGTATATATTTGTTGTCGTATATCCTGACCTGTAGATTTTAACTACTAATGGGCATGGCATTGCCATATATTTTAGTTTACTCACCGCAAAGGAACAGCGCCAACATTAAAGTACATATTTAACCAATAAGAGTAAATTTGGTTAAATTAGCTCGAATCCTGACCTCAGTGTTAATACAAAGCTGGAAATAATAATGCTGGCAAGTTGTATTGTTTACTTTAGTTTCTAACCAAGAACATTTCTTCAGTGTTTTGTTGGTTAGCATCTCACACCAGGCATTGCTAGTTTGCCATGTCTGCCTACTGTACACATGGAAAGTGCAACAGTTGCAACAAATACCAGTTGTCAGCATGTGATGGCCTTATTTGTACACATTGAAAACACTATTGCATAATTTACAATTATGTGGGAGAATTTGTACTTCTCAATTCCAAACAAGATTGGTGCGTAACTTTTCATGGGTAAGGTTGAAAACTTCTCAAATGATTTGTTTGGGTTGAATGATTCAATGCATGTTACATTAATGGAATCATTGTGTACAGTGTAATTGCATAATTTTATGAATGTATTGCTTTTTTTCTACACAGACTTATAGACAGTGGTTCTACAGTAGTTTTCAAACTTGTGTTAAAGGAAGTACAAGGTTAAGATTTCTATGAAGTCTTGTGTTTCTTGGCGTGCAATACGTATGCTGAATTAAGTATTCTTTTGGAAGTGCAGTTCCAATTTTGAAAGTCAGGTCTGGGTTATATAAACAGGTTTTAGCTTTCTTAGCCCTTTGATAGACCTCAGTAATGATGATGTCATCATTTATATGTGTGTGGAATCATTTGGTACTAAATGAACTGTGGGTCCCACTGGCTCTCTTCGGTTTGTAAGTGACTTGGTCATACACATGCACGCACCAGTGATTGCAAGCTTCCATTGGATTAACACTGAAGTTACACACGTTAACTTCCTGTTCCGTTGTTCCACATAGCTCCATATGCAGTGGGTGTGGTTTAAAGTGGTGACGTCACACTTACAAACTAGATAGGAAAGTGTACATATACACGGAGTCTGATGTAGATAAGTAGTCATAATTGCAGTGCCATGTAACTTTTGATGTGCAGTATTATTTCAGTCCATTGCTCTCTTTGAGTGTTCATCTCAAATTTCGTAGCCCATTTTCCACCAAAGATAAAATTTCTCTCTGGTGTTTCTGGTTTTGTGTGTCAATTGTGAAGCTCCATTTAGTTCCTTCATTTTCTAAGGAAGGCCATATTTATTTTATGTCATTACTGAAATTTGCCATATCCTGTATTATTTTCATACAGCAGTTTTTGTCTTGCTTTCTTTCAGGAAATACAAAACGTTTCCAATGTGTTAAGTACGGTTTTCCGTCTAGGCTTAATTTTTTCAAAGTACATGTACTTGTGTACTTATAAGAGCTTTTAGTACTGCAGTGCTGTGTTGTTTTCATGTTTCAGTCAATAAAGATGTAATGGGATTGTTGGAAAAATAACATTTTATTTTTGTGGATATTGTTAATTTTTTTACTGTTTCATTGTTTTGAGGTAAATTGCTTTGAGGCATTGATTTTCTGTGATATTTTAAACATTGTTGGGGAAACCGGAGCTTCTATTATTTTCTGGAATTCTCATGAAATGAATTTTTTCCAAATGAGTTGAAATGGGGATAAAAGTTCATTCTGCCCCTTGTCGGATGTTAGGGGCTGCTCGCTGAAGTATTTGATGGATACAAGATATCTTACAAACGCGTGCACAATTTTTATTTACTGAGATCAAGAATCGAAAACACTGATTTCCCCATCAGGTATCAACCAAAGAAATAAAACGGGTATTTTGTGTCTGCGACCTGGAGGAGTAGTACCCCTGTAATCAGTGTGGTACTCCACAGCGCTCGCGCGGTTACTTGTAAAGCGCCCTCATGTGAAGGAAATTATGTCTGCATTGGATTAGTCAAAGTCATCTCTGTAGGGGTGGCTTAGGTACCTGAAGTTCTGAAAACCAAAAAGTAATTTATGAACTCACTTTATCTTTGTAAAAATGTCTTGATATGATTAATAATTATAACTTATGAAGAAATTTTGGCTGTTTTCCTGTAAATATATAAGTATGGGCTTTTTGCGTTCGTCACGTTCACGAATGTTACCTAGGAAAAAGTATAGCCATCCAAAGCGTCACGTGACTCACTAAGCAACAAACCGTGGTCATATAAACATTTCTGCGCTGAGTTGGTCTCTGAAATGTAAGATATGTTTTTTATTTAAAGGTATTGAAAAACTGTTTTAAACCCATCAAAGGAGTTAGTGTTAAAGCCAGAAATTTTATGCATCACATAGAGTAGAATTTAGGGCGAAATAGGTGTCTTCGATGCAATTATGACTTCTCTAAAATATTTAACGGCAGTTTGCTGAATGACTGTACTGGGAGCGGGAGGTAGAAATAGAACCTACCATTGACTCGTAGAGTAACGTGAAAATGAAGGGTGCCTCCTTTCCTTGGCCTGCCCTTGTGCTTACTAAGGGACGGACACGTGTCCAGGCAAAGAGGCAACCCTCCGTGCTGTTTGTACAGGGAATCACCTATTTTATTAAGAGAATAAATATGTGCATGGCCGATAAGACCTTTTTAGACCCACTCAGGAGACTGGATGTGACTAATTTAATGCCCGAGCCACAGGCGAGGGCAGAATCATCAGCATTGGTTCTCCTTAGCAAGGTCTTGCTTGAGCATTAGTTAAAGACTGGCCAAGCTCATATTTATTCCATTTCATAAATACCTTTTTATTCGGAGGGTCAAGAGAAGTCAACACATGATGGATTTCCAATGATATTGTTTGAAAATTTTCATATTCCATTCATGGTAGGCCTAGGCCTGCATGTATATTTATCTTATAATTTAGGGATGTTACAGTCCGAGTGCACATTGCAGTCAAAATGTAGGTAGCGTAAAAAGGTTCGACAGTAGAGAGTGTAATGAATATGCACGACCCTGATGTCATCACGGCTATATTGGTGTCGTCACATACAGCACGTACGTTTGCACGCAAATTTCCAACATCTGAACATGTATAAAGTGATAACTATCCGTTAATGGCGCAACAGTAGAAGGTAGTGGGGCGACGGTAGAAAGAGGACTTATTAAAAGTGATGACTAGGTGAAGGGGGCAACAGTAGAAGGTAGTGTGGTGACAGTAGAAAGAGGACTTGTTAAAAGTGATGACTATTGGTTAAAGGGGCGACAGTAGAAGGTAGTGTGGCGACAGTAGAAAGAGGACTTGTTAAAAGTGATGACTATCGGTTAAAGGGGCGACAGTAGAAGGTAGTGTGGCGACAGTAGAAAGAGGACTTGTTAAAAGTGATGACTATCGGTTAAAGGGGCGACAGTAGAAGGTAGTGTGGCGACAGTAGAAAGAC